TCTCTCTGTCTCTGTCTCTCTGTCTTTGTCTCTCTGTCTGTCTCTCTGTCTGTCTCGCTGTCTCTCTGTCTCTCTGTCTCTCTGTCTCTCTGTCTCTCTGTCTCTCTGTCTCTCTGTGCTTGCTTGTGTGTTTGTTTGTTTGTTTGTTTGTTTGTTTGCTTGTTTGTTTGCTTGTTTGTTGGTTTGTTTGCTTGTTTATTGGTTTGTTTGCTTGTTTATTGGTTTGGTTGTTTGTTTGTTTGTTTGTTTGGTTGGTTGGTTGGTTGGTTGGTTGATGGTTTTTGTTTGTTTTAGTTTGCTGGCTTGTTTTTGTCTATTTGTTTGGTTGGTTGCTTGCTTGCTGGCTTGATTGGTTGGTTGATTGGTTGGTTGATTGGTTGATTGATTGGTTGGTCGGTTGGTTGGTCGGGTGGGTTGGTTGGTTGGTTGGTTGGTTGGTTGGTTGGTTGGGTTGGTGGGGTGGTTATTTGTTTGTTTGTTGCGTGTTGCTTCTTTGTCTGTCTGTCTGTCTGTCTGTCTGTTTGTTTGTTTGTTTTGGTTTGTATTTGTTTGATTCTGCTTGTGTTTGGTTGCTTTTGTTTGTTTTTGTTGTGTTGGCTCTTTGTTTTTTAGTCTGTCTGTCTGCTTGTCTGTTTTGTTTTTGTTTGTTTGTGTGCTTGTGTGAATGCGTGTTTGTGTGTTTGTGTGTCTGCGTGTTTGTGTGTGTGTGTGTTTGTTTTTGTGTGCTTGTGTGTTTGTGTGTTATTGTCTTTCTGTCTGTTTGTTTATTTGTTTGCTTGGCTGTTTGGTTGTGTGTTTGTTGTTCAATGCAAACACCCGCCTCCGTGATGCCTGCATTTTGCAGGCGGTACCTCTCAAGCACAGTTCATGAGACCATCATACGCATAGCACCGTACCATGACCGAGCCCTAGCCTGATTTGCCCGTACTTCCAGACAGCAGCAGAGCCATCAAGAAGAATGCTGCACAGCCTTCAGGAACGAGCGTCGCTTCTGGGCAGGTGATCCAAAAGTGGCTGGAGGCCGCGGCAGGTCATTTATGGTTTGATGTGTCACCAAGACGATGGTGTGGCCTTTCGGTCCACCTATGCAAGACAGGTCTCGACCAGTCCTCTGGTCAAAATGTCTTGCCATGTTGCCCGCATTCGCACTGCTACACGGATCAAACGCTGAACGCGGCTCTTGTCGTGCCGCGTTTGTATGAACGGCTCCGATACATGTCAGCTGCAAAGCCTATGCCTCTAGATCTCGCGATTGCCATCAACCAGCTGACCTGCTGCAGCAGTGGCACGGAGCTTCTGCACCTCACGTGTCACATCCTGGTCTTGGATTCCCGCAAGCCGCATGACTCGCGCTCGACATTCGGGCTCTGTCTCCTCCAAGGTTGGATCAGATTGAGAGGATCTGAGGCAGTCTGCTCCCACACTACAGCCTTGTCATTGCATCCCTGATAGTCCCAGAAACCATCCGGACTGAAACCGACTGGCCTTGGTCATGACAGGATGCAATTTGCACTTGTTTGCAGCCTCTAAAGGTTGAAAGCCCTAGCCCCTCTCCCCGCTTTCTCAAGACATGCTATGAGACAAACCCACTTCGATCCATGCCAAGGACAATGACGGCAGGTCAGGGAATGGGGCAGCCATAAATCCCATAGACCGAAAGGCGAGGGAATGAAAGATACCGGTACTGCCCGGTACAGCAGCAGATCCTGCAGTTGTAAGCTCTGTCGCCGAGTAACACGATAGTCGCACATCGGGCCCCGAGGCATTCGCGGCATGATCAAGAGCATCTTACCGCACGGCTGTGAACATGGAACATGTTTGTGGCTCCTCCAATCCCTGCTAAGCGAACTGGTCGTTCTTCTTCCCGCTGCCCGGTCCATAAGCTCACACAGCTCAGCTTGGGATGCACAGAAAAGCCGGAGCAAGCTGAGGCGAGGGTGGTATCAGCCAAAGCCCAGCTTCGTAGCTCCGAAAAAGTGCAGCCCATGTATCCACTGTAGTGAAGGAACCGACCGTGTCCGAAGGCGCGGCGTGTCCGCGACCTTGTTGCCGAAGCTCGGTGGCAGCGAGGTAGGGCGCGTCAAAGCTAAGCACAGCTAAGCACCCACAAAAGGAAAGAGCTCCGCTACTTGCCGAAGGCGCACGCGGGAGTCAGCACCAGCATCAAGGAGCGCGTTGAGGGCGGCCACTTCCTGAAGGTAGTGAACCAATGTATGCTGGTGTTTTAAGCGCATGCGCCACTGAATATCAGCAATGGCGGTGCCGTGGTGGTAGGCCCAAACGGCACCGCCACCACGCAAACCGCCAGGCGTCAGCTCGCAGCGGTCCAAGCCCAGTAAACCCAGCAACATGTCCCATCGGCGTCTGTAAACGGCGGGGCCGAAAGGATAAACAGGGTCATCCCAATCCAGTCCAGCGACCGCGCAGCTAACCAGCTCGACCGCTGTCGAAAAATCGACACGCAAGTGCTGAGTACGAGGCCCGCCTCTCCCAGCGGTCTTGGGCCTTTCCAGCTTCACGAAGATAGCACAAAAGCCACCCATGTGGTCGCTGGGCAGAAGCAAGGACCGCCGTCTCGTCTTGATCACCTCGCCAATCCTAGCCAAGCCGTAAAAAGGCGAGCAGGGTCACAGAGGCCCATCTCCTGAGACTCATTCCCCAAGCCAGAGCGACCATCGCTCGCACGTGTACGATGCACCACCGGCTGCTCTCGACACCATCTCCCAGGCGGGCCCAAGCTGGCCCTTCATTCCCCAAGTAAGGCGTTGTGCCGCGACCATGGTGTACCTGAAGTTCTGCAGCGAGCCTCCAGTTTGATACAGAAAATCACCATAAGCGCGGAGGGCCATGGCTAAAAGCGGGGGGCAAACGACGAACGACGACACAGGGTCGGAGGAGAGGACGTGGCCGTGCACCCACTTGAGGAAAGCGGCCCAGGCAAGAAACCCGAGCCGGGAGGACGTGGCAGAGTGCAAGGGGGCCCCGGAAAGACCACCGGGCACGGGAGGACGGCGAGATGGCTGCCTCGGACCAGGGTGAGAGGCCTCGCCGATGCGACAGTTCAACGGGAGCTTGGCACAGGCAGAGGGGTCAAGCGCGCGGTCCTCAGTCCAACCGGCACCGGCGCACAAAGACAAAGCCAGCAGCTCACAAAGTCCACGTGGAAAATGCCGAGCCACCAAAGTGCAAGGCTTACGGTGGGATTCGAGTAGCCGCGAAGTCTGTGGTGGCCGGCCGCGGGGCACAGGAGCCGCGCACCAGCCAACGAAGTATTCGTTGCTATCCTGGTTCTCTTGCGCCAGGGGCACCCGCACCTACAAAGGTCAAGGCGGAAGGACTGGGAAGACCGCGGGTCGGAGACGGTTTCCCAGCCAGGCATACGCCACAGGAAAGAAAGGTCAGGGTTCTCAAACCAGTAGCGGGCACCGGCTTCAGCGGCGGCGGCTTTGACCTGGAGCAGCCAGACACTCCAACGGTTGTCGCGGGCGACCTTGGCAAACGCAGTCGGGGCAAGGTGGTCGAGACCCTCAGGCTGTGCGGCAGAGCGCGTGGGCGTAGCAGTTGCGCGGCTGAAGGAAGAGCACGGAGGGGAAGCACCGACAACGAGAAACGCTCCATCCTTGACCAAAGAGAGGAGGCACCTTTGCAGAACAGGGTCAGTCAAATCCTCGCTTGCAGCCCGGTGCAGGTCAAAAGTCAACACCCAGGGGCAGCCATGCCGAAGTAGAGCCCGAGCGACACCCCCAGCTCCGCAGAACAAGTCCAGAGCTCCGGGTCGGGACAAATCGGGGAGCCCGCCTTTGCACACGAACTGACGGCAGGGGAAGTTGCTGAGGCAGGCACGGGTGGCAGAGCCGAGAGGCTTCAAACCTCGCACGGCGGTGAAAACATGCACCATGCTAGCCAGCAGCCGCCTTCGGAGGAGGAACACCGACAGCCAGGACCCAACCAAGCTTTCAAGGAGCTGGGCAGTGCACAGGCCAAGCTGCAGCACACGGCTCGTGATCAGCACGAGGGGCCAGAGCCTCTCGGGATTCGGTCTCACCCAACCGCTCTCGCCATGCACCGTCACCCCCCAGAAAGAGCCCTTGGTGGCATCAGAGAAAACCTTATCCTCACTGACGGTAAGCGGGGCCTTTCGGTAGGCCTCGAGGGCCGCTTCGAGCCTGGCGCGGCCAACCGGTTTGGTCCTCTTGGCTCTGATGTCGGGCAAGTCGGTGGCGAGGGCCCTCTCGAGGAAAATGAGGTCATCGATGACCAGCCCGACGCTCAGCAAGCCCCTCGGCGGAGCCACAGCATGCACCAACAGCTCGCCCGGAGGAACAGCACGGCCGCGGAGGCACACACCCAAGTGGGCACATTGGGCGAATTCGCATGCCGACGAGTCGCCCATAGCCAGGCTGGAGAAGGCGACATGAACACGGGCGGGCCCGGCACTGAAAGCCGAGACGGGGACCCGAAACACAAAAGCAGCCTCCTCATGGGAGAGCGAGTCGTTGAGCAGGTTTCGCCTGATCCGGCCCGGCGGTGCCACGAATTGATAAAAACAGTCTTTCAGGTCTGCCCCTGCTATCAACAGCGCCTCCTCCGGTGCAAGGATCACAGAAGAGACCGCACAGGCTGAGGCTAGGGTTCGGGTCCATCTGGAGCAGGCTTTTTCGAGGCAATTCGCCGGCCGGGCATCAAGTATCCACCTGTCCTTCTCGGCCGACTTCGGCACACAGAACAACCCTGCACCGAAGGATTCTCGCCCAGGCGGGTGAGTTGAGATCACAACGCGCTCGGAGTCAGCCAGGGCACGGTGCAGCAACAGCCGCTCCTCAGCCTTAGCAAGAATCCGGACACGGGGCGGCGACTCGCCAGGCAGAGGGGCCCGGGCGTGGAGCAGGGGTTTTTCGTAGAGGTGCCTGGGGCTAGGGTCCAGGAAGGGCTCAGGCCTAAACTTAGGGGCCCCGGCAGCTTAATCCTCGAAGCCTGGATTGGCCGAGCATTGGTGGCAGGAAGGCCCGGCAAGGTTCCGACGGCCGCGGCAGGCTGTGCAGCAACAGAAGACGCGAGAGAAGTGGGGCCTAGGTACCCGCCGAAGGCTGAGGCCAAAGAAGAAGCGGCTCTCGCAAGGGCACCCAACACCTCACAGTGACCTTCGACCTTGGCAGCGCGCCGGCCAAGATCGCCGGCCGAAAACTTCAAAGGAAAAAAGTCGCCAAAGAGAGCGGCCCGCAGGCGCTTCACCGTTTCAGCTTGGCACCTGTTGAGCTTTGCCCCAGCCCTGATTTCGCGGGGGCACGACACCGGCTTGCCGAGGTACAACCAGGACAGGACGGCGACACAAAGGTTCAGCAGGATGAGCTTCCAACTGTCGTGCCCGCACGGTCGGCGGAAAACCTCAGGGTAAGGCAAAGGGCAAGGCCACACCGAGGGCGTAGAGGCAGGTTGCAGCCCCTCATCGAACATGTTGCGGAGAAAACGAGCAAAAAGGCCGGCCTTTGAAAGCAGTAGGCGAGGCAGGGAATTCAGCAGCCCAGGCACGGAAAACGAAGGAGCGCGATCCCCTGGTACACGGGCGGGGCCTCGTGCTCCAAGTCCGGGCTCTTAGGGCCGGGGTCGCGGCATGCAGGCTTTTCGGGTCACTGCTTCGGGGGCTTCCTCGGGGGACGCGCCGGGGTGGCTGCAGCTCCGTCGGCGGTCTCGGCCGGAGTCTCTTGATTCGTATTGGCAGCCTGCCCTTTTTGAAGCTTCTGCCGGCGCTCTGAAAAATCCATCTGCTCCCTGAGATGAGTCAGGGATACCTCTGCCCACCTTGAATCCAGCAACCTTGAGTACGCCAGGCTGGAGGAGCTGCTGCTGGAATGCTCCCTGAGACGAAAGGCTTGCACCGGGGGAGGGAGTTCTAGGGTGAGTTCGGAGGCTAGGGTCCACGACCCCTTGTCCACCGACTCTGGTCGATGACCATGAGCATGACATTGAGCCTCGCACGAGTTTGCTCCACGAGGCCTGCCTTCAGTGCATCCAATGCACCCGCTGCGCACCATGCCAAATTCATCGCCGTGGGAAACGGCCCGACTCGGGACCGATGCTCCAGCCAAGCCCTGGCACTGGTCTGCTGGACCATGCCCACCCCCACCACGGAGGAGGCCATGTCCTCTTGCATCAGCCGCTCTATCACCGATGAAATGTCGGCAGGGGAGGTAATGAGTGCCTCCCGAAGTGCTCGTCGAGCCGAGGCGTTCCGCCTCCCAGAAGGCAGGCCCGCGACCTCGCCCGTACCACCTCCGACGCCGTCCAAGGCACGATCCAAGGCTGAGCCCTTGGCCGCCTGACCTGGAGAGTAGCCTTCCATCATCCTGAACATAGCCGTTGCAAACAGCTCTGCCTGGCTGGTCTCGGCCTTGGAGCTTTGGCCCGGCAACCCAGACAACGTTGGCAGGGCCGTCCCCATCTTCCTCCTCCAGAACCTCTGCTTCGGACTCCTCGAGCGGGTCGGCGGCTTGCGAAGGCAAGGGTTCTGGAGCCATCCGTCCCCGACTGGGCTGGCTGAGAAGACGCTCGAACTCGGCTAAGGTGGCAGGAGGGACCCCCGCGGCTTTCGCAGCAGCCGCCACAGAAGGATCCAAAGAGCCTCGTGCAGAGGCGGCTTTCGGCACAACCTTGGGAGAAGCCTTGACCTTCGGGCGGACCTGACCTTTGACCTCGGGCACCTGTGCAGCTGGCAAGTTGGACAGGAGTCGCTCCAGACGATCGAGCCGAGCAGCCAAGGGAGCCAGGCTCCGCGGATTCGGCCGAAGCAAAAGCGTAGCTGTCGTTCACAGCAGCAACAAGGGCCGGCACAAAAGGAAAAGCGGGCCCGCCTCCTGGCAAATTGCCGAAGCTCACGGAAGCAGGCTCCTCCGAAATCTCCAGAGCGCTTTCGGCCGCAGGCTCCACCAGGCCGAACCAAACTCGTAAAGCAAAGCCCTCGACAGCCGCCCCTCGGTCGTCGGCGGAGCAGGCAGCAACTTCTGCAGCCGCCACCTTTGTTAAAAACCCTTTCGGGAGGGTGCGCTTCGAAACCTTCCTTCCTGTGCCACGCGGAGGCGGGCACAGCCAACACAAGCTTCCCTTCCACCTCCCTCACCACAAGCGCTTGAACAGTGATAGCCTCGTCGCCTTCGTCGGCACCACATTTAAGCAAGGCCGGAGGGCAGAACGAGTCAACAAAGCCTTCGCCTGCAGCAAGGGCGTCGCGAGCTGTGACGGGATCGCCGTCGTAGTCTCCTTCCGGATCGGAAAGGGCCATCTCACCACTGGGCTGGCAAGGCAAGGTCAGCAGCAGCACAAACGGCTATCACGTCGCCCCTGGCGGGCAAGCCGATACACACGCTGAGCCCGAGGTCGGACCCGACTTTCACAAGCTGCTTGCAGTCCCCAAACCTGGTAAAAAACTGCACAGGCGAGAAAAGAGACCCGTGGTAGTCTCTTGCAACTACCCAAAACCTAGAACCGCCCGGAAGCCTATCCCTACCGGAGGCACCCCTGTGTTCGCCGCTCAGGCACCGTCGGAGGAACAGCCCGATCTCTCTGCAAGCGGCGCCGCCGCGGGAGGAGGTTGAGGAGGCGAGGCAGAACCTGACGCAGCAGCACGGGAGGTGGGAGTGAACACGGGTGACTGCACACGGGGAGGGGAAGCAGGGGCGGAGTGTCGCACAGAAGGGCCGGGCACGCCGGGACTGGCAGGCACAAGGTCAAAGGAAGAGGCCTCGGAGTCCTCAAGTTGAGCCGCCAGGCGGGCGACAGCGGCACGAAGCTCGGCCACCTCACGTTCAAGGGCAGCCACACGGGAGCCGAGGCTCATGAAAGGAGCCGGTATGTGAAGCCGGCTCGTCCCTGAAGACGACTCGCAGCGAACTGCAGAACGAAGGCCCGAAGATAAAGAAGCACCTCTAAGACCGGCCACACCAGAAATCCAATCAAGACACCAAGACCAAGGCTGGGCCAATGCAAGCCCTCCAGGCAGACAGGGCAGGCAAAGCCCAAAGGAGGAGGAGTGTCGGGGGAGGAAAAGTGATGGAGCAGGTGCACGAGAAGGCCGAACGACGACGCGGACGACGCTCCTAGGAGGGCACGGCTCATAGACCCGAAAAGCTCAGAGTCCTTCCGTCACAAAAACATGAGCGAGCAAGCCCGACGCTAACGAACATGTCAGCCAAAATTCAACGGCGGTGCAGTAGCGCCTTTTTGGTCGAAGCGCAATCGCGCGCCGGCCAGGCGCACCGCCGCAAAATCGGTGCCGGGGCAGGGGTGCGCACTTCAGCGCCCACCCCCGGACCCCGCCCGAGCCGGCGGGCGCCGGCCGTGTGACGAAAGTCGAACAACTTAAACACCTCAGGGGTGAGGCGGGCGGGAACTCAAAAGCGGTCGATCGAGCCGGCGATAGCTGCGCGGCTCGACGCTTAGGCTTGTTCCTGCACACACAAGTGTGTTTCACAACAAGCCCGACGCTAACGAACATGTTAGCCAAAATTCAGTGGCGGTGCAGTAACGCCTTTTTGGTCGAAGCGCAATATTATCGTGTGCCCGGCCAGGCGCACCGCCGCAAAATCGGTGACGGGGCCGGGGTGCGCACTTCGGCGCCCGTCCGGCGCACCCACACCCCACACGGCGTCGGCACCTACCACACAGCTAGAGGCGTTCAGGAGCCCAGTGGCAGGCGAAGTCGATGTCGGGCAGCATGATGTCGTCGACTGGGGTGGCTACCCTGTGGCGCGGGAGTCATCGCCCCGGGAAATGGCGTCGGACATCACATTGGATGCGGAGGGGATGCTATGGAAGTCCGGTAACCACAGAACCAACCCAAGATGCCATTTACCGAAGCCTCCTTCCCATAGCCCTTCATCAGGGCAAACTGCCCGGCGACGCTGTCGATGAAGGCAATCCAGTACAGGCTGAGGCGCAAGGTGACCAAAGGGCAGGAGCTGAGCGACGATCTCCAGAACACAGATAAAGGCCTTCCTGGTCGTGAAGGGGGCCAGGTGCTCCGGTCAAATGACGCCGTAGTGGTAGAAGACGTGGCCGTCCAGGAGCAGCCAACCATTCTGCCACCGAGCCGCCCGAGGGACGGCCTCCCCGGGCGCCAAGCGGCCTTCCGGGTGCCAAGTGGAACGCGTCGGCGTGGAGGACGGGGGCCAGGGCACGAGGCGAAGGCATGCCTGATCCACCAGGCGACGACCAGTCGTCCGAGTGCGCGGCAGTGCTAAAGGTGGACTGCGACAGGAAGGTCAAGCGCCCAGCCAGGCGCGACGCGCGTCTGGTGAGAGGCTGTCATCGGCCAGGGCCGCGTCGCGTCGATTTGGTCCAGGAGTCTGGTCACCCCCTCCAGCCCGACGGACACGTGACCCCCTGTACCACGTGCTGTTTGGTGGGAGCCTGGGCATAGAGCCTTAGAGGGTGGGCGGAGTCGGCGAGGTCCTTCTCGTCCACGCCGTTGAAGTCGTCCACGAAGTGCCCGAGCATGACGAGGATGAGCGCCCGGAGCAACGTTTGAACGGCGTGGGCCGCTCTGTTGAAGTTCCAGATGCTGGCGGCTCCTGAAAAACCGCGGCGCGTATTCGCGCAAGGTCGTGGCGCCACTCCCGGCGAAAGGCCAGGACCGCCGCCAAAGCTGGCTCGAGGGTGGGCCAATCAACGGCCGACGCCCAATGGTGCTCCGCGATGGCCGGGGCGGGGAAAGCAGCCAATCATATTGTGGCCGCCCGCGCACCGGGCGCCTCGCACGCAAAGCCGGTCGTCCCGCCTCAAGGCGCTGGGGAGGATCTCCGAGCCGTTGCATGGGCCCGTCGTTGGGGTAGCCCAGCTGCCTCAGGGCGGCCCCGTGATGCGGACCGGGACGTGGGC